CCTCCCAATTTTTCTGTGAATCTAAACCTGCTCTACAAAAAAAAAGTCCTAATAAACTGAATGTTTGTTCAGAATCTATACATATTACTGAAAGAGACAAGTCAAAACAATGACTCCAGTTCCAGTGGGGACAAGCAGTAGGCGAGTCTTAGGAAATAAAAGTGCAGCTCTTCAAGATACTCGTTTCCACTTGATTGTACACAACTGGTGAGATCCGCTGGAACTCCTTTACGTGCAAGTGGGAACAAGACGCTGCACGATCCCAAACAAACCTTGTTCCAGCAACAGCCCCATCATTCTTCCCGAGCGGTTCATCTAACTCCACACCACACCATTCCCCCTTGGCAAAGTCTGTCTCCCCGAGAAACCGGACGACACCAGCCTTAGTGCCACCAACCTGGAAGAGAAAATGTTAAAATGAAGAGATGAACCCAATTCCACAGCTTATCCTTTGAGGTTCCTACCAAATAATTAAGTACTGCCCTCTAGCATTTCTACCTTCCCTTCCATTCTTTAGCGAGTCCTCTCCAAAGACTGGCAAAGTTTACCTGGGTGACATGTTACCAGAGTGATTTGATACCTGATATATTCCAATAATGATATAGCCTGTGTAATTATTAGTTGTTAAGGGTGTTGTCCAACAAATTATTCCCTCTAGAAAAATACTTTATTACTCCAGAGGATTTTCTTGCTTCAAAATAAATATTTGCTATAAAAATAAAACCCCTACATCATTAAAGGAAAACAAAATTCACCCATAAGCCACTGTAACAATGGCTATGTTTGGTTTCTCATATGTCCTTTATATCTTTACCCATGGAAAGCAGTAATACATACTTATTAAGGACAAATATTGCCACATCCACACACATTTGCTTTTGGCCTCTCTAACCGTACATGAAAATGTAAAGTTTTTAAAATATTGATATTTTCCACTGGAAGGCTCTCCATTTCTTCACAACTGTTAAAATTACTATTCTTCACATTTTATTTTATATGAACTGCTCAAAGCTGTGAGTCTTTTTAAACATTTGACTCTTTGTCCCAGCCATTGCTTGAGATAAGATGTGAACATTATTTCCAAAATTATCCAACCAGCATTTATTAATGATTCCTTCGCTATTTTTTAAAAAAAATTCAAATACTTTATCACACTTTCTGTCATGTGCACATGAGAACACACAAATGTGTTTGAGTCTTTCTGCAGGTTAAGTATTCATGTTGCAGCCACTGCTTTCACTTATTGCTACTTTACAATCATTTTATTTGCTAAGTGGGTTTACCTCACTACTCTTCTTCAGAATATTCTTTGGTTTTCTTTTATTTTTTTGAGCTTCTTAATTTTTTTTTAATTCCACCAATTTTAAAAGAGGTGGATCATAATATAGCAAATTCAGAATGTTACAAACAAAATATAAATTTAATACCTGTACTCTCCACACCCTGAGACAGTCACTGCTACACTGTGGCTGTGTGTGACACTGCTGTCACTGCTCACATGCTACGTTATGGCGGCTGTGTAGTATTCCACAGTACAAATGTATCACAATATGCACTTTACTAATTTTTCATTTGGGATGTTCACCTTTTTCTTAGTGATTTAAAAATCTCTTTATATATTTAAATTAATTATTGAATAGCCAATACATTCTAATGGTTCCAAAATTTTAAATAGAAATCTGTTAGACAGAAGAGTCTCCCTTACTAAATTCTTATACCCTCTCTGCCCCATTCCCACCATCACAGGTAACCATTGTAACTGACTTACAGCTATCCTTCCTCCCAGCATTTCTTTATGCATATAAAAGCAAACACTAATTTACATTTTTCCTCCCTTTTATTTTTACACAAAAGCCTGTGAACGACATGCACTATTCTGCACCTTATTTTGTTCCATCTCACAACACTGAGAGCTTCCTTCTCTGGGTTTACAATTGCATGTCACTCCACTGTATGGATGCATTCCAGTTTATGAAATCAGCCCCTATTGACAGGCACTAATTTTGTGAGCGACATTCCTCTTAAGTAGGTTTATTTACTTAATAAATTTAAAAATCATTTTGGCTAATTCTTTAAAAAAGTGCAATGAGATTGTGTTAAACATAGATTACCTTGGGAAGGTAATTTATTGATCTTTACAAGGAAACAGCTTTTAAGTTTTCCCTTTTGTTTGTTTTTGATGTTCTTTATTTAACTCATTTTTTATCTTTACTATTTCCTTTTTCCTACTTCCTTTTGATTTATTGTTCTTTCCTTCCTGATTTCTTAAGTCCAATACTAAATTTATTTTTTGTCTTGCTTTTTAATACTAAAGGCATTTGTTTCTACCTTTTCTCTGAATATATCTTTTTATGAGTTTGGGATAACACGTATTTTTTCCCCAGCTCAATTTAACCCCTTGTTGAAGAGAAAAAATGTGAAAGCCTCAGGGGTATATACTTTTTCTCTGGAAGGGAAACTCCTTTGTGAAACTGATTTAAGGAGTCAAAGAAGTTATGGCTTAAGGTACTCTAGGAAGGGAGGGCATGTGAAGGGTGACAGGGCAGGCAGCTCTACGACATTTCAGAAACATCCTGGTGCCATGATAGGTGTCACGAGGAAAGACTGAGTTGGAGGTGGAGAAAACCACACAGGAACTCTGCTGCGTCCAGCAGTGCAACCCGCAGTGCCCAGGAAAGCAGGGCAGGCACTTGACAAACATTTGCTGAAAAAAATGCAAAAGGACCTACATAGAAAAGGCCCCTTTCCATGTAAAGTAAAGGAAAAAGATATCCCATGACTGAGGTTGTATTTGTTGTCTCCGAAGCAAGCAAAGAAAGAAATATGCTAGCATGAGTTCTAAAGATGGACACATTCAGATGCCAGCTCTATGAACTAGTCAAGTTGCTTAATTTCTAAATCTGTTTCCTCATAAGTAAAATGGGGACAATTATAGGACTGTTGTGAGAATCAGTGAAATAATCCACATAGAACTGCTTAGCAGTAGGAGTCCACTGTATGTTAGCAGCTAGCTTGTCCACGCTAATGAGTGCACTAGTTCTAGATTGGGCACACTGGACTTTTTAACACTCTTACTGGTATGCGTGGAATCTACAGTCACCTACCTAAGAATGCCCTCCTACCCCATCGCACTCCGAGGGACAGCTAACCAACATCATCTGAGCAGAACACAGCACATTAGCTGAAGATGATGCAATCTCCTCAAATAATCTTGTTGAATTCTTTGGGGGTGAGTCTAAGTTACTGTCATGACAATTGTTTTTCCAAGAGTCGTCTAACAGGCTGTGGTCAGTAAAATCTCCAAGCAAACCACAGGCTTCGTTCAGATCAGAAGCATTATAAAAGAGTACCACAAATAACAAATTAGCAACTATTTCTCTAAATGCAGGTAATTTAACATGCATTTACTGGGGGGAACCATACCACTAAGTTTGTTTGAAATGGATGATTACTAGATCCTGGTATGGGCAGTTTTCTTACACTTCTATTCCCACCAAACTTGGAATTCTTGACTCATATAACAGACAATGTGCATTCCTTTTCCCTGTAAAAGATCACTAGTAATCATTCAAAATATCAACAAAGTCCCATGAAATCCTAAAAATCACTCAAACACTTTTCTATTTAAATATTTTAGTAAAAAATTTTTTTCTAAGCACTTAAACATGATTTTTATAAAGTCAGGCTTTACTTCTCATGTGTTCCAGAGAATATTAATATGGGCATTTACATTAAGTATAAGTCACAATTTTCAAATCTATGTTTTAGGGGAAAATATCAAGATTACTAAAGAAAAAATTTTTAACACTGAATCAAAAAGAGATTCCCCTGGCAAATGCAAATAACTACCCTTCATTCTCTTTACTCTCAGAACACAAGCATATAACTCCTAACACTGTGGTCAACCTAAGTCAAAATTAGAAGTCACTGCTGGAGACCAAATTAACTTATGGTTAAGAGCTTGCTCAAGAGTGTGAGCTCTGAGCAACAGGGTCACTGGTTCAATTCCCGGCCCGAGCTGAGCTGCCACTGAGCTGCCAGGCAGGATGGCTCAGCTAAAAAAAAAAAATAAAAAAAAAATAACTTAAACTAGGAATTCAACTAAAGGAAAACCTAGCTATATTCATGCTTTAGCAAGTCTCAGATTTCTAAGCTGTCATTCAATCATTCAGTAGATATTTCTTGAGTGCTTGGGCCCTTAGGATACAAAGATAAACAGAATACAGTGTTGGCTTGATGGACAGAGAAATTACAATAAGTGATTCCAGTAAAAAGTGATTTTAAGGGGCTGGCCGAGTGGAACGTTGGTTAAGAGCTTGCTTGGGACGCCAGCTCTGAGCAGCAGGTTCCAGGTTCGGATCCCACATGCCAGCCAGTGATGTTGCGCCCTCTACAGCTAAGATGGTGAACAACAGCTCAACCTGGAGCTGGGCTGCCGTGAGTTGCCGGCGACGGCATAGGCTGTAGTGGAGCTGGCCGGCAGCGGATGTGAGCTTTCATGAGCTGCCGTGAGCCGCTGTGAGTGGCCGTCCAATGGCCAGCGAGCAACTGCCTCACCTGGAGAGAGTGCAATGATAATACCAACATGGGCCAGTGAAGCGATGTCCTCCACAACTAGACTGAAGAACAAAAGGACAGTAACTTGTCTGTTCCCCTTCCCCGATTCCCCAATAAAAATCTTTAAAAAAAAACAAAAAAAGTGATTTTAAGAGGTTTCTTAAAAAAAAAAAAATGCCGTGGAAACAGAGACAAATACCCTTCTTGTAAACTCTTGTGAAAAATAAGAACACTGATAAATTCTGCTGGGCTATTGAATGAGTCCACAAATAGGAAATAGGAAACATTTAATCCTCTCTGAACTCTCTCATCTATTCATTATCAAGTTCCAAACAAGCCATTTAATCTCACTGGGCCTTGGTAAGCTATAAAATGTCCAATGAGTGGTAATAAGGGATTGTTTCACAGGAATTTTGTGAGCAACAAAATTTTGTGAGGTGGCTTCTTTATGACATCATTTTGAGTCTCCTAGCCTATAACATGAGGGTAAGTAAACCCCCTTAAAAAACTAACATGACAAGAGCAGGTGATGTATAACAGATATTCTCTTCTAAACTCCTCCCTAGAACAAACAGGTACACAAAGATGACATAATTATGAAGACACTGGTTAAAAAGTTAAAAAAAAAAAAGTTATGCTTGACTTTCATTTTAACTCTTGAAACTAATCTTTCCTTCTGAAAAGCATATTAACTCCTTTAGGATCCAGGATCCCAAAAATATCAAGAAACAGGGGGGAAAAAAGGAAGAGGTTGTTACCTCAGGGAGTGGGCATAGAATTGCTTTTTGATATAAGATTACAAGCACCAAAAACTTGACATTTTAAACTATGAGCATGAAT